ATCAATCTAATGGATGTGACTTTATTTATCGGAGAAAAAGTATCGAGAAAATCAAGGTCAACTTTTTGTTTAAATCCTTTTGTTACAAGTGTAGCTTTGAATTTATCAACTATACCACACAGTTTATGTTTCTTTCTAAAGACCATTTACAACCAATAGTTGTACAATCCGATGGTAATTTTACCAAGTTTTGGAGATTAAAGAATCCATCCTATCATTTACAGCCTCTTTCCAAAAATACTATATAAGGTGATGTAAAAGTCTTTTGGTAAAGAAAGTGAAGTTTCTTTAGTATTGAAAACATAGTAGTCAAAGCCAAAATCTTTTTCAACTCTAGCTCTTGTATTCTTTTTAGGTTCAATTTGAATTATTATTATTATTATTATTATTATTATTATTATTATTTTTTATTATTATTTTTTTTGGGGTTTGGAAAAGGAGAGAAGAACTTGGTCTTGATAAAATAATTTGTTCTAATTCTTCACCCCAATCTTTTTATATTCATTTTTTTTAAAGGAAATTTATGTTCATGAAATATAGCATCAAATGAGTCAATATAATTTTTTTTCAATATATAAAAATCTATAGGTTGTGCTATTTACTGCATATCGAAGAAAAGCATAACTGGTAGTTCTAACACTTAATTTTGGCATTTTAGGATCTGTTAGCCTTACAAAAGTAAACAATCCCGAACCCTTAAAAATCTCAAGTTTGGCTTATACCATTTGATTTTTGTTTTCTTGTGGGGGCACCCTATTCAACACATAACATGCAATTAAAATAGCTTTAGCTGAAAAAGATTTGAAGAAGTCGTTGACTCAATAAGTATGACATTTGTCAAATCAATCAATGTTCTATTTTTTTTTTCAGCTACACCATTAGATGCAGGTGAGTATGGTAGAGTATTCTCATTAATTATTCCCAAAATCTGAACAAAAGAATTAAAAGTAATAGAATCATACTCTTGGCCTCTATCACTTCTAACTCTTTTGATTTTCCTATCAAATTGATTTTCAACTTCTTGGAGGAAAATTTTGAATTTATCAAAAGTATTGCTTTTCTTTTTCAATAAATAACATAAGTATATTCTGAAAAATCATCAATAAAAGTGATAAAATATAAGTTTCCTCTATGAGTTAAAATTCCTTTAAATTCACAAAGATTAGTAATTCATCAATAAAAGTAATTCTAATAATTCGGCATTTCTTTCAACCCTTATATGAGGCCTCTTTGAAATTTTTGTTTGACTGCAAATTTCACCTTTTTTGAAATCATTTTTAGTCTTGGAAGTAATCCTAATCCACTCATGATTCCTACATATCTATTGTTTATATAACGTAAACGAGCATGTCAAAAATTTACAGAAAAAAGCATGTAAACAAAAGTAGATGTTTATTATTCTCAATACTCAATTTGAACATTCTATCATAAGCATACCCTTACCCACAATACACCATTTTTGGTAATCACATATTGATTTTATTTTATAGTCTGTCTAAAGCCAGCCTTATTAAGACAAAAACTTGACATTAAATTCTTCATTATTGACGGTGCATGTAAAACATCTTTCAAAGTTAGTATACATCTAGCTATGAATTTCAGTTCAACCTCACCATTCCTAACAATCTTAGACCAGTCTTTATCATAGCAGACATGCCTATTTGCACCAAAATCTACCCATCACCTTTCAACATACTTTACCATGTTAATGTCTATTATCATGTCATAAGTGGCTCTTCAGTTACATTAGCTTGAGGAAAGGTCTGCTATTTTCAAAATTTGCAATTTCGAGCAATATGTCCACTTTTGTCAGAGATAAAACATGTATTATAAATTTGATTTTGAGAAGGCATTGGACATAATTTTCTGGTTCAAGTTTTTTCGATTGTGTGGTTTACCATAAATTTTCATATTTCTCCTTGGCTTCAATTGACCATTTCTTGGAACCTAATTATTGGGCAAGTGATTATTTGTAGCAACTAAATTTACCTTGATGCTAATTTTGGCCTTTAGTTTCCTCCTTTACATTGATGCAAGTGATCAAGGTCTTTAGGGACGCCTCTTTCTATTTATGGCGCACTGGCTTTTGGAATCTCTCCATGATGGTGGTAGTTTGTCAATGATTGCAGTCGCAACAAGGTTGTCCTCAATTTTGATGCCTTCAGATCTAAACTCTACACAATCATTTGAAAATCTTGTGATTGTTTTGCTACAGGTTTTCCATCCACCATTTGATAGTGAAAGAAGTGACTAACAACATATTTCTTTGCACTAGCTTCCTTAGTATCATATTTCTTCTGTAAAGCTTTCCACATTTTCATTGCAAAGAAGTAAATAGTATTGTAATAATCATAAAAAGTATTAGGTAGGCAATTTAAACTATAACACCGACAATTATACTCATCTCTATTATATTTTGCTACCTTCCCTTGATGAGCTTGAAGTTCCTCTTCGTTCATATTGTCGGTAGAGACCTTATTTGAGTTCTTCTTAGTGAGGATGTAGGAGTTAAGGACAGTGATGTAAAATAGGATTTTGCTCTTCCACTGCATAAAATGGGCTCTCTTAAAACGAATGGACTTGCTGAGATCTTCGGTGTTGTTGATGGACTTGTTAGGTGCTAACTTCATTTGTGTGAATTTCCTTAAAAATGTTGGTGAAATTTTAATAATAGAAAATGGAGTTACAAAATAAATAAGATAATAACGAAATTGGATGGACTGAAGCACTTATAATAACACGATCCGAAACTGGAAACCTTAAGCCAACACAGTTTCCTGACTTCAACAGTTTTATATCTACAAAACATCCTCTTTGTATGTTATCTAGTGTTTATCATGATTAGGAATAGAGTTGATTTATTTAGCTGTGTTTATCTCTGAATGGCATGATGCTAGGGGACATGAGTTTGATGCATTAATGGCTAATGGTACATGGTCCATATGTCCTAGACAACTTCATAAGCTAGTAGTTCGAAAAAAGTGGGTCTATAAAATTAAAAGAAAGTAGGATGGATATAGAAAGATACAAGGCACGTTTAGTTACAAAAGGACTTGATCAACGTGATGGAGTTGATTATCATGAGACGCTTTTATCAGTGATCAAACCTTTGACTATTCGATTAATTCTGGTCTTAGCAGTGAATTTTCATTGGATAATTCGTCAATTAGATGTATCTATGCATATTTTACATGGCAAATTGGATGAAGAGGTCTTCATAAAGCAACCGAAAGGATTATTTATTAGTCTCAACCTAATTTTGTTTGCAGGTTACATAAATCTCTTTACGACCTTAAACAGGCTCCAGGAGCATGATTTCGTAGGCTCTCTCAACAGCTAATTGAATTTGGTTTTCTTGAATCTTCAATTGACTTATTATTGTTTGTCTATGGCAGAGGCGACATACATATTTTTGTTCTTATTTACGTGGATGACATAGTTATGACATGATCAAATTTACCAGCCATTACTCAGTTTATCTACTAGCTTGGCACTGAATTTCAGCTTAAAGATCTTGGCAACTTGAGCTACCTCTTAGGAGTGCAAGCATGTCAAAATTCTCATGGTTTTCACTTGAGTTAAAACAAGTATATCTGTGATCTTTTATATAAAATAGATATGGTTGGAACAAAGCCTTTATCCTCCCTAACAGTTGCTAGTCGAAAATTATTGAATCAGGATGGTAATTTGCTTAATAATCCAAGTCAATATATGGTTGTGGGAGCTCTTTGGTATTGTACTATCTCCCACCCTAATATTTCATCTATTATCGACCAACTATGCCAATTTATGCATAACCCATGGGGAAGGACACTGGATTGCTCTTAAAAGAGTTCTTTACTATTTGAAACGGATGGTTGATTATGGCCTATATTACATACCTTAAGGTATTGACTTAAATGCACACAGCATCTCTGACTGGGCAGGAAATCCAAATGATTGACGGAGGAGTAGTAGTTATTGTGGTTTTCTAGGGAAAAAATTGATTTCTTAGATTGCTAAAAAGTAGAACATTGTATCTCATTCAAGTACAGAAGTTGAGTATCTATCATTTAGGGATGACAACAGGGTGGGTCAGGATCGAGTTTACCAGCCCTCCCCGCTGGGTAATATTCTACCCCATACCCATCCTGTTACCTATTTAGGCCGAGAAGGGCGGGAGAGGCGGGGCCCTTGTCCCGTTTAATATTGATTTTATTTTTTTAAGTTTTGATAATTAATTTTATTGTTCTATTTATTAAAGAGAGACAATAATATATTTATTAAATTTTTTAATTGATTATTTATTTTTGAAAATTAAATTATTCAAATATATTTGGTAAAATAAGGCTTTTATTGATTCTTTTATTCCTTAAGTAATACTAGTTGTCATCTTCTATTAGAACTGATGAAATTTCATGAAGTTTTTCATTTAATGTATAATTTTTTTAAAAAAAATGTTAAATAGGACTCGACGGGAGGAGACCCTTGTTACCCATACCCGCCCCGCTCCTGACCTTCGATTAAGCGGGTAATCCCTATATCGAGTTTGGCGATTTTTTTCTTTTTTTTTGGTTGCTATCCCTAAGATCTAGGGATGTAAACAAGCCAGGCCGAGCCGGCTAGAGCCTAAAGTTTTACTCGGGCTCGGGCTTGGCCCGATTAAAATGGCCGAGCTTTTTTGCGGGTTCGAGTCGAGCAGACTCGTTTTCTCCCCCTTTTTTTCTGCTGTCTTAAAAGGCTGCATTTTAAGGCAGCAGTTTTGCTGCCTTTGAGGCTAAGGCAGCGAGCTGCTGCTTTTAAAAGGAAGCATTTTTGCTACCTTTTTAAAAAGCTCACGAGCTCACGGGCCGGCTCGAGCAAAGCCCGTGTCCACAAAATGAGGCTCGGCCCAAGCCCCGAGCCGAGCAGGCTTGCGCTTTTCCTGAGCCGAGTCACGGGCGGTTCGAGCCGGTGAGCCGATTGCCATCCCTAGTAAGATCACTGGCTTAGCAACGGCTAAACTCTATTGGATGCGTATGCTATTTCAAGAATTGGGAATCACACTTCCTAAATATCCAATGATTTGGAGTGACAACATAGGTGTGATTGCTTTGGCCTTGAATCCTGTATTCCATGCTCGAACCAAGCATATCGAAGCAGATTGCCATTTTGTGAGAGAAAAAGTCGTGAGCAAGAATGTTCAAGTTTGTCATATGTCCTGGAATATCAAATTACAAACATATTCACAAAGGGACATACAACCCTACGGTTCAAGTTTTTAATGCACAAACTGATGCTAGGGGGGTGTTAGCATATATCATGGAGAACATAACTAAATATTTAGTAAGATAGAAATAGTTTTTGAAACATGAATATCTAAAATGTATGAACGTTTATCTTTAGTTTGTTAGACACCATTGTAAAGCTAATTTCTTTTGGGTGTACAACTTTATAAATATACAAATTCTTCATTGAGTAAGGCATCAAAGAGACCTACTCAAACACAATTACTTTGTCTACATCACCTCTTTGCCTTATCTTTCAACATCTAAGAAAAAGTAACCTTAGCTTGACATATTCATAACATTAATCAGACATGATAGACAAAAGTAACCATCAAATATGAATATGTTTGGCTTACAAAATTGAACGCAATATTTGAAATATTTCATACCATAAACCTAACATCTCGGCAAAAATAATAAAGGGTTGAATATCATAATTGTAAATTTTCGTATCACTAATCTAACATCTTGGTAAAATTAACTTGCTGAGTATGTTTACTATACAAGATCGAATAGAATAAGTAAAAATTTCATACATACCTCTCTTTATTAGTTCAGCCTAGACTCTTCGGTATCATATATCGTATGTACTATTGTTAGTTAAGCCATGATTAAATTGGGAATGGATATTTAGCTCTCTAACAAGCTTTTAAATTAGGAGGTCTAATGGATAATAATTTCACTAATTAGTATTAGCCTCCATTTGGTAAAATTTATAAATTATTTATGAATGGTCAAACAACAATTTTTTTATTACACATTTCAATATATTCACAAGTGTTATCCATTTACCGACATTCAATTTGATTTATTTATAAATTAAACCGTTTATAAATCTTCCCTAATTGCCGGAAAATTTATAAATTATTTATAAACAAATAGAAAGAGGAATCATAATGCGTCACACAAAATGTGTAGATAATAAATATATAGTGATTGTGCATACTGTCGAAAATAATTTTCGATTTTGAATGAAATTATAAATGGTTTGTAAATTAGTTTCTAGGGACTTTAGTAGTAGATTAGAATTAAGCCCCCTGCACAGGCCCTGTGCAGGGACTCTCACATGGGGGTGGACCCCAAATGTGAACCCCATGTGTGTGCACCTGAACAGACCCTGTGCAAAAGGGTTTGTGCAAGTAGCACAATTGAGTAGATTATATTGTTGACTTTGCGCGCCATCTGTTTGATGAAAGTCCTTTCTCTTAATTCTGTCATTTTCTCATTAAGCTTTTTATAAGTCTTGTTTGGAAAGATTATTAGTAATTTTTTAAGAGAAATAATGGTTGAGACTATGAAATGTGCGAATAATATAAATAATAGTATTAAATATGTGGTTGAAATTAAAGTTTGATCCAATAACAGAAGTAACTTATAATTTCCTGAAAATATTTGCCAAACGAGGCATATTCTTTGATTGATTGATATGTCCCTTCTTTTTTGTTCATTCTATGGAATATTGCTTTAGAGATACAAAATACTTATAGACGTTCAACTAGCACTTCATAATCTCTACAATAATGTTATATGATCTAGAGATGTCTATGGTATTAAGAAATATGATCAAATTTTTGTTATGGTAGACGATAATGAATTATGTAAGAAGCAAATAAGCAAATATCTTGTCTCCTAACATTCAAATATTCTGTACCAAATACAGTAGAATTCATACAGTTGAGTCATGTTTTGAGGTTTCTGAATTGTTTTCTCTACCAGCAAACCATTGAATTGTTCTCTTCGCAATGGGAAACCAAAGCCTCCAAACTTTTTCATCCTTCACGATATTTACTGGAAAAGATGATTCATTCGTCATGCTTCTTGTACTCAATTCTGTAAACCTTGAAATATTTGCAATCTCAGACATTGATCTCTTCTCACCTGGATCCAATGATCTTGTCGTCGTCTTTTCGTCTAAATCTATGTTGTCAGTACAAGGAGAGCTTGAAGTGGCAGTTGCAATAACCTTAGAATGGTACAATCTTTTTCTTTCCATATCTTCCTTAATCTTCAAAACTTGTCTCTTGGCTGAAAGTTCATTAGTGAATCTTCCACTGTTTGACTCGAATGGCTTGAATCGTTTGCTTGACATAACATTAAGCATCTCGGAATTCAGAAACATCAGGTCTGAAGTGTTGACATCACTCCACCTGCTTTTACAAATTACATCAGAAACTAAAATCTCGTGCTTAAATTTGTGCAAGGTTTCCCTTTCACTATTGCTATCTTTTGGAAGCAAAACGTCGTCTTCCTTCCACCTCGTGACAGTTTGGAACTTGTTTACCATATTGAATCTCGATGACCTATTTCGATCTTCCTCTCTTTGAACAAAAAGCTCGAGATTCGGTTCTTCTGTCAGATTGCACGAATTCCTGGGGTACCTAGAGCTGTTCGTATACGTCAAACTACTCAAGTCTCCCACATCAAACTTGTACCTGCAAATGGGGCAGCTTGAGTGATTTTCGAGCCACTTATCAATGCAATTCATGTGGAATGCATGCTTGCACTTTGGCAACAATCGAAGAACTTCAGTCTCCTCAAATCTTGATAAACACACTGCACATTCTAGGCCTTCTTTTGAGCCCTTGAGGGATGAAAACCTGAAAAATGGAAGCGACTCAATTACTAATGGATCAATACCAGAAAACCGGGATCTTGATGCAAGAAGCAAACGAGGATCTTGGTCATCATTCGACTGATAATAGGACACCGGTCTGTGACAGAACTTCGCGTAAGCCACAATGAGAAACGTTATGCCGAACATAAGAAGCAGAACAATAAGAACCGCTGCCATCCTTGGATAAAGTGGATTCACATCATGATGATTGGACGAATTTTGAGCTTCAGCACACATAAACAAGAAGAGAAAAGCAACAACCTCAAAATTTTCCATTGCGAAATCAAGCAGGGCTCTCTTATTTTTCTTCAAACTTTTGAAAACTTTGCTTTTTGTGTAGCATTCTTCTTTCTGGAAATCAATTGAAAACACTGTTCTTAAGGATTTATCTCAGCAAGTTTCTTAAACTACTAAATAAATTATGGTTCTTTATGCTTGATTCTTTGTTTATCTCTTTGGATTTTTCTGTCCGTCCCTATTGAACATCTTAACTTATTCGAAGGAGCATCTTCAAGTGTGTGCTGACTGAAAACCTGCCAGAGACATGGAGCCAAATAGTAACTTTCAATTGACAAGCAAAACTTGTAAAATATTGACCCTTTGAAATCTTGTTTCTAGAGGGATTGGTTCAGTTTTATCTTGATTATTTAATGGATGAATGGAAACGAGGCCAACTGCAACTACAGTTCTCAGAACTACATGATTGTGTCAATTTGGAATGAACAACATTTTCTACTTATATTGCCGGAAGTGGTAGAGTTAATGGTGTCAAACTGGGTCGGGGACTGTCCGGCTTGGAAGAAGACGACATAGGCCAGACATCAAACCAGTGGTGGTAAACGCCGATGAAAGCAAAATTTCCAAAATCTTAGACATGCTCGACAATGACCTACGTAAAATATTGAACTATAGTTTTTTGTGTGGTAACCTACTTAAATGTAGATAAATTATCGTGATGCAACGAATTTCATATCGTACATAGATCAGTCTATTTCATAAACACCAATGAGAATCCATATTTATCATCCATGAAAACAGACCACATAGAAAAGTGGAGAACTGGGCTTTGTCCAGCCAGAGGCGGTCCTGATGGTACGCGAGTTGAGCGACCGCATAGGGCTTCAAAATTGTAGGGGCACCAAAATTGTTTTTGTTGTAATTGTATATTTATTTATAATTAAATATTTAAAATATAAATTTTTTATTATTATGCATAAGATATTAAAATTAAGAATAATGTGACTAACTAATTATAATTTCCTTGAATATAATACTCTTAAATAGTATTCCTACTTTAAATATTGTGAGGGAAAAGAGAAAAGTCGAAGATCGACTAGAGAACTGAGAGAAGAAAGAATAATTGAGCAGCCACTTTTTCCAATCGTCTTTTTGAAGAAAAGAATTAAAGAAACTAACCGTCTTTTCCAATTGCCTAATTGAGGCACAGAAGAGAGAAACCAACTGTCTTTTTGGAGAAATCGTCTTTTTCTTCAATCATCTTTGATCTAGCTCCAAAAAAATCTCTATTTTCCTTAAATGACGATTGATGATTCATATTTTTCATTATACCCTCACTGAAAATTTGAATTATCTGTTATCTTTTCTTCATTATCTTTTCGTCAATCTCGTTCCGTGATTTTACTGATTTGAATTCGCTTTATAAGAACTTGTTAAAATATGAATTTGCTTTGCCTGAACGTGGGGACTGAGAGATGGAAAATATTGAAAGACAATGTTAAAACTAATGTCAAAACTAATGTCAAGCCATTGTCAGCTACACGATGGGAAAGTCATGTTAAAGCTATTAGATTCCAAGCTCTTGAATTAAGAGAAGCTTTACTTCAAGTCCTTGAAATTGTAAATGACAATGATATATGGTGTCAGGCTAATGCTTTGGCAACCTTTATGTCGGAAATCTTGCGTTTTTAGTAGCTATGATCATATGGTACGAAATATTGTATACTGTTAACTTGATTAGTAAACGCTTACAATCTAATGATATGCTTATTGATGTTGCTATTGAGGAAGTGAAAGGCTGATTGTTTTTTTTTTTTTTGGGTTAAAATATAGGGAAACTGAATTCAATGATGCGATAACTATTGCTAAAGAAATTGCCATTGAAATGAAAATTAATCCTTTATTTCAAGTGAAATGTATAATTCGTAGGAAGAAACATTTTGGTGAAAACGCTATTGTGAATGATGCACAATCACTTGAAAATTCTTTCAGAACCAAATATTTCTTTTATATAATAGATCAAGCAATTGAATCACTTAAACGAAAATTTGATCAATTCAATTCATATTAAAAAAAATTTGGATTTCTATTTTCTTCTGACAAGTTAAAATTATTGGATGATGCTAATTTGAAAGCAAGTTGTAATCATCTTGATATTGTTTTAAGACATGTAAATTTTTGCAATCTTGATGGCGAAGATTTATTTTAAGAGTTAAAAGTTTTGCGAAATCTTTTACTGAAATAAATAAAGATGACTTTTGATATATTGACTTAATTGAAAAGATTGATTATAAAAGTTTAATTAGTGAGTTTGCTTCTAAAAATGCAAGAAGAAATATTTTTACATGATTTGTTGCATTTCAAACTTTACGTTTGATATATATATATATTAAGGTTTGCTTATATGGAATTGTACGAAGAGGGGCTAGTGGTTTGGATGATTCTTTGTTGATGACATGAATTTTGATGAAGTTCGAGAAATGCTTTTGAGCTTTATATATATATATATATATATATATATATATATATTTGCAATCAAATAATATTGTTGAAATATTTTTTTTTAATATTTGTTTTAATTACTTGAAAGGACAACATTTTAAAATCTCATACAGGACATCCAAAATCTCACAGCCGGCTCTGGGTCCAGCCCACCACAAAAACCGAACCAGCTCACAAGCTTTCACAAGCCTTTCTCAAACAATCCCAGCCCGTTCAGCACGAGTTGTCGTAAGTGTCATTAACAATCACATAATTCAGCTTTAAAACTCAATTCCCAGAAAAACTATTCCTTTAAGAATATCTGATCTCTTTTGGAAGAGTTACATAAGTGCCACCATATTATTTCATTCATATGCAACAACTGTTTACACATTTACAGCCATTTATTTTCTTGCTCCCTCATTGTAAACTATTCTTCCCAATCAAAAGAAAAAAAAAAAAACTTAATTTCCACTTGTTACAAAGTTACTTTTAAACTTAGCCATAATATGATCGACAGTGTAGCAGCTAGAATGCCAAATCTTATACCTGTACGACTTGGGATCAAAATCCGGACAATATTAACAGTAGCTGATCCAATATTCATAGGTTTAACGCATAGGCATGAAAGCTCCATGGAATCCATAGGGGACTCTACTTGATAGTGCAATCTTGGCGACTGGCCCTTCTGAAAATTTCTGTGCATCGACTATATAAACCTATAGCCAAGAAGAATACATGTTAATTTATCATCAACTAATCAAAGCTAACACTTTAAACATTCAAACTATGTTTAGACAACTTACTTGAGATATATTATTGTCTTCATTATGTGTATATGTAATGATCCATCCACCATCTTCTTCAGGACTCCCTGGTTTTGCTACAAAGGCAGCTCCTGTGCAAAATGTATTCTGTGGAAACTCAAGACACTCGACCTTTATCAACTCTTCTTCGGGTTGTTTCTTATCCTGGTTCACAAATATTGATTTATAAGGAGACCAGCGGAACGAGCGCACTGTTAGGGATTAAACATTGATCCAATCCCGATAGCAATAATTAGTGAAAAAAACAGAAACACTCAGAAGACGCTCCCCTCAAATTCCTTTATATAGCATAGGAAAATAGATTAATCCGCCATGAGGGGGATAAGTCAACAGTGTAATCAGGCTCACAAATTCAAACATACAATGGGAGAATCAAGGTGCGACATTTTAAAATGATGCCCCTTTCATGTAATTGAAAAATATATAAAGAAAAAATATAATACAATAATATTGCAAAATATGATATTTAAATATTTATTTTTTACATGTAGTGAAAAGAAAAACACAAGTAAATCTCAAAATGGCGATATTAAGATGTAGATTGTACTATTGTAGAGTAAGCAACAAAGACTGACGGACTAATAGAGTTTTTTCACTATTCTGTTTGACTGGTCTTCGCAAGTTAAAGGGTGGATCGAGTAGAGGGAAATGGTGAAAAGGGATCACTTTAATCATTTAGATTTTGGACTGCTTATTATCTTGTTGAGTTGATAATTGGTTAATGAAGTTAATTGGGCATTTGGGATTGGGCTAATAAAATTGATAGTTTAATTTTTTAGCAACATAATTTAAAATTAGAAAAAATAATTTTTTTTAAATAATATGTTAAATTAAAAAATATTAATGTAATATAATTTTATTTTATTTTTACTTTTTATATATAAACATTGTGCCTTTAACTATAATAAAATTTTTGAATTTTAAATATATATATATATATATATATATATATATACAAACACACACTTATAACAATTTTTTTTCCCCCTTTTTTGGTGCCACCCTATGTGGCCACGCAACTCGCGCACTGCTAATGCCACCTCTAAACAAAATTATAGAAGGGAATTTTACCGGGAGAAGTTCGAGTTTCCTTTCCTTGAAGTAAAGTTTTGCTAGCCCTCCATATTTTGCCATGCCTGTGGCAAACTTTCACGATCTATTACTAGTCATGACCAATAATCAAAAGCACAACAACTCTTAAGAGGACGATGTGATTTTACCTGATATGGAGCTTGCATTTGAATCGACAACCTGTGTGTACCCAAACTTATTATCAAGACCAACAAACTTTTCATTCACAATCGGAAAATCCATAGAATATTCTGTTCCGGTGAGATTTCTCTCATCCACCTCTCCGGAATGCATATTCAATCGCCATTCATGTGCACGAGAGAAAAATGATCCTTCCTGTGATTTTTCATCAGTTTTTTCAACAGAACTTATATGCTTGAACCCTTTAGAAAACCATTCAAATTTGTTTAAGCCATAATCAGGTCCTGGTATGACTGAACCATGGGCTCGACATGCCAACACGACTACCTGTTCCTCCCATCCAAACATATAGAAAAATGTCGATTAGTCACCATACTATAATTTTTTTCGTATGGATTCATTGGGAAAACATCAAAAAATACTGCTGTTACCTCATCACCATCCTCATAACAGTTAATAATGTGAAATGTACAGCTCGATTCAACTTCAAACCACTGGACAGAATCTGCATCGCCATAACGGGGCATTATTCCAATCCTTGCACGTCCTTCTTTATCGTGCTTGATCAACCTATGTTCACAAATTACACAAAGATTCAAATTAAGTACTTCTTCTTTGTTAAGTATGATCTTAATTGAGCTATATATGAATGGAAATTTCTTAAAAATTTAATGTGAAGTATACTCACGAGCCTCCACTTATGAGTCGATCTATGTCTATAGTTACAGGAAAATCCATGATCACATTATACCTGAAAAAGAGGATGTATTAAATCAAAAAAATGTCTTAAAACGTGTTCTCATATTAAACACCACAGTGAATGCCTTAAAATAAACAGACTACCTTTTTGTAACTCCTAGTTCATGGCAAAGGCAACACCTATTTAATTTGAGATCGGCTTTGTGAATTAATTTCTTTCCATCAGCTGAAAAAAATGAAATATTTAAAATTATCGTATTTACTTATGTATAAAGGAGCTTTATGTTGCATTTCTATACCTGAAATAACTCCGATTTCAAAGTAAGGCTTTCTTGGAGAGATCCCCATAATCACAAGCCCTCCAGTGTCTGGAGCTTTCTGTTTCACTTAAAATGTCAAGACCATTGTTGAAAAACAAATTGAATAGGTTAAATCGTGGATTTTTCGAGCATTTACAGGGTCAAAGAACTACCTTAGGATGGCTAGTGAATGGCCTACGCCAAGCTTTATTGATGTCCCAATTTCCGAGAGTTTCCAGTGTACGAATATCAATCTCTTGAGGAATGTGATTCTCAGAAATTGAGTAGAACTTCTCGGAATGCTCAAAAACATTTGTATTGCTAAGATATTTATCCACTAAGCCAAATCTTAACTGCCAAAATCAGAAACGCAGCAGTAGTAGCGTTGAGTATGCATATATCTTGCTTGTACTAACAGGAATCAATAAAAAAATACCTGAAGCTGATATTATTTCACACTAATGAGTTAAGGGAACTATTCTGATTTCACTTAAGCTACAGATTTAAGAAAATCGATAAATTTTCATTGAATCAGCTTACCAAATTTAGTAGAAAAGCTGACAAAACTGCATAAGAATCCCCTTCAATAGCTGGAAGAAATGCTGGTTTGTTTCTTTTCTTTTCTAATTTAAGTGTATCGGTTTGGACATATCTGTTTCTGTAGGAAGTGATCCAGCTGCCATCGCGTTCTTTACAAAAATACAAAGCATGAAGCATTCCTTCACCTTCTATCCAGGTGTGGCTTGATTTCCCAATCACGGATTTTGTCGATTTTAGTCCTCCAAATAAAGGATTCGGGCCTACATGGACAATAACATCATATAAAACCAAAGCAACTATTGAGCTAGCAATTCTACATAGAGACAACTTAGGCGGAAAATGGTCTGAATTTGCAACTTTTTAAGAATGAAATCCATTATTTAGTACTATTTCAGTGAATCAACCAAACAACATAGGATATTACTCTTCAAAAAGAAAAGGTCAAGTTTGGATAATAAGGGAATGGAAAAGGACATCGTTCTTTTAAACTTACAACGAACAATGTTCTCAGTCTTTTACTTCTTTCATTTACCTATTTGTCCTCTCTACTGCTTCCATACCAACAAATCAAATATCAACAGTCGTATTTTTTATTTCTAATTTCCAATTGGTCTTTATGGTAAAATAAGACAGAACATCATTTGAGAAAAAGACACTGAAATTTCAAGAAAAATATTAATTATAACATAAGATGACTGTGAGGTTCAGTCATTCTGAACCCAAGAACTAAAATAATAAATCCATGTTCATTTCTGAGGTATGTACACAGCATCTTGTAATACTTTAATGTAATAGAAACCAAAAAGAATTCCTCCCTTTTTGGATTCTTTCTAAACATGTACACCGTATAAGACAACGGGCACTACACATTTTACGAACCTGGCTGATCAATCATCCAAATGGCTCATAAACTAGAATTTTCAAGAACTGATCTGACTTTGTGCTGACCAATACGTTGTCCTTAGCAGTAAGAACAGGCATAGCTTTCCAAGGAATAAGTACACAATCCAATTCAACAAATATAAATTTTGACAGTTCGCAGATTGTCTGGTTTTCGTGCAAAGATCGAAGCAATTAGCATACCGTTTCTAATGTAAACACCCTCCGGGAACTCGTCTGGGATACTTCCTTCTATGCAGGTAACACGAACAGCTTCTCCCAGTTCTTCTACCGGAGCAAAATTACTCTGTTGTCCCCAGGATCAGATAGTGAGAACACCAAATATCATCTTAAATACAACCAACATATTTGGTATTCATCCATATTTTGAAATTCAGGCTATTTATAACACAAAATCCTAAAGTCATATTTGGTATGCAGTGCTGAATATAACTGGACACGTAACTTTTGTTTCTTCTTTTATAGTGTTCTGTGCTGTACAATCCGCTATGACAAAAATGTGTGTGTATTTGGAGGTGGTGTGGGGGTGTTTTCATTTGTACCATCAGTACCTGAGATGGGAGCAATGGCTGGTCGATGAATTCAAACGCCAAATCAACAAATATATCTGTTAATCTCACATAAGCCTCCTTAATGATATTGGGAACATTAGCCAAAATGAGACTTTGCTGAAACTTTCTGAAGAGTGGCTGGATAACAAAATCAGTTTCTTGATTATAGCCTGATCAAATCACATATATTATGTGGGAAATTTAAGATTGGACTGGATAATATCATATCTTCTTTTTCTTATTTATTACTATCCAGTTCAAACGTGCCTGTCCATATGACGAAGGAAACCTGTAGAGTTGTTACCTTAAAACTCAAAGAAGAATGTAGTGAACCTCTGGAATGATCATCAAATTTGTGGGAAAACGAAGGTCTGTCTACGGAGCAACTCACTTGCAATGTACCGGCCATCTCTCTCTCTCTCTCTCTCTCTCTCTCTCTCTCTCTCTCACATACACACACACACACACAAGTAAGGAACAATGTAGAGAAAACTATCACTTCTTAAAACTGCCAATCCTTGTATATTAATGCACAATGTTTGAAAATTTGGCGTTTAGAGTATCACTTTTGACCTTAAA